GATGACCTTGCAGCTGCTCGCCCCAGCAACGCCAGCATTACTATACGCGCCGTCTCACTTTACATTAGTCTCAAAGAATGTAGCAGAGCAGCAGGATTCATCGTTTCGGGTGCAATCCTATCTCGAAGAAGTCACAAGGGCTTCGTATGAAGTCGCGACTAGTCTCCTATGCTCTTCCATTTTGGCTGGGAGAACTAGTGAGAGTGACGAATATGGAGATGTTGGTATTTGGGTAGGTAAACTGCCTGACCGGGACCCTCAAGAGGTTCTCCGAAATCTGGGCTTGGCCGATTGGATCGAATCAAAGGGTGGTAAAGTAAGCTGATGTCGTGTACATGTGACTGAGTCTATGATATCCATACTAAGTTGCGTCTCTTAGATTGTTCAAGCTAAAGCCTCTCCTTCGCCACTTCCTGCCTCTCTCACTTCCACTTCGGGACCCCTTTCACCTGTCGCCGAAACACCAAAGATACATATGGAGTCTTTATCTAAACTTTTGAATAATCTTGAATCCACTCTAGAATTCAGAGTCGAAGGACTAGGTGGTGGCATAGTGCTCTATTTCATGGTCGGCCAACTCAGCGAACACAACGGCGGATTTGATAGAGATGATGGTTATGCAGGCCTCCTTGGAGTTGGAGTGATGACTGACATGGATGATTAGGAGCGATACAATCTGCTCCCGTTAAACAGTGATGGCTCACTGATGTACATTAGTTCTCAGCATATGTGGTCAAAGACATTCTACTCTTTCTATCCCTATGAATCGTATGTTATCGCTTGAATTTATGGTCTGGCAAATCTTCCGAGGATGTCCAGCCAAAGGAGACACTTCTTTCTCGGCTGCCACAACAATGTCCCTTGGTAACACTTGCAACTTTTTCGTTTCACCGCCTAAACCCTCCTAATATATCTCCTAAATAGCGATTAGAAAGATATTACGTGCTGAAGCAGAGTCCATGGACCGGGGAGGATCGCTGAAGGATAATTCATCCGAAAAAGGTGAGTGGCAAACTCTCGAACAGCAGTGTAAATGTATTGCTGATCATCTATGGGGACATTATTCAAATGAATCCAGTTTCTTTACAATGGTCACATCCATTTGGGATGAGCTGCCTGTACGGCGAGGTAATAGGGGCTGGCAGCCACAACAATGGAGAGCGTGTCGCGCTCTTCGATCTGGATGGAACCCTCATCACCACCAAGTCTGGGCGTAGGTTCCCGGAAGATTGTGATGATTGGAAGTGGTTCTCTCCCGTCGTCCCAATAAAACTTCGAGAACTTTATTTGGCAGGGTAGGCGCATCTTCACTATGGGTTCTAAGATCTGACACCGCGTTAGGGCTTCCATATTCATTATTTCAAATCAGATGTGCCCCAAAAAGATAGTCCAAAAGGATGAATATCATGCAGAATGGAAAAAGAAACTAAATCTTGTCGCTTGTGCGGTATGTTTTTCCAACCGACTTAATGGCCCACCTCCAACCCTGTTCTATATGAGTAGCTTCACGACGTACCATTCAGAGTTCTTGCTGCAACTGGTCAAGACTTTTATCGGAAACCTCTACCCGGGATGTGGCATGCAGTCCAAGAGACCCTAAAAGGCTATGGCACAAACATATCCGAACAAATGGTCTTCTTCGTTGGAAATGCTGCCGGCAGAAGGAACGATCATAGTGGTTCTGACAGAAAATTTGCTTTGAATGTAGGAATTCAGTTTTACACCCCGGAGGTGAGACAAACACATCCTCCGACCCGTCAGCTACTCATCATTTCCAGGAATATTTCTTAGGAGATAATGCCACACATTTTGAACTGAAAGGCTTCCATCCTTCAAGCGTCTTTGTGGATCGTAAGCAAGCCAGTTCATGTGAGACTAATATCAAGCCAAGAAATAGGGCCACTCTTCTTACCATCGTCGACGCCCTTGGTTCCCAGCACTGAGAGGCCCACAATTGTATTATTTGTCGGATATCCTGCCATAGGAAAGACTAGAGTCTACAGAAAATATTTCGCCCCAGCGGGCTTCGTTCATGTCAATCAAGACACTCTAAGGACGAAATCGAAATGCCTGGAACTGGTCGAAAATGCCATCAAGAATGGTAAAAGTGTTGTTGTTGGTAGGTGGCATCACACTTGACCCTCCCTCTCATCTCATGAGCCTGAATAGACAATACGAATCGAGATGTTAGTACGCGGCAAGACTATTTAGATTTAGCAATGCAGCTCAGAGTCGACGCAAGGTAATATTTTACTCCTCTTGCCTTCAATTCGTTGACCCTCTGTCAGATGTGTCCTGTTTGATGGTAGCCTAGAGCTAGCTTGGCACAATAACATATATCGTGCCTTTTGTTTAGCGGACTCCGTCAAAGTACAAGAGGTATGTTGGCTCATTGTCCCTGTGAGTCCGTACTGAGACCGTCAAGCCTTCACGAATATTGCTGGACTATTCGGCTTTTACATCGTTCAAGGCATCTTTCCAGACACCGACCAAAAATGAAGGTTTTAAGGACATCAAGCGGTTCTTCTGGAAGTTCGAAGGCACTGAAGACGAATTTAAGCGGTATATGATGTGGCTGCATTTCAATAGCTAGACGATTATCTAATTATCCTCGCGATTTCGCAACTCCGATACTCGGCTCGTCCTATAACTTGGTGAGATATACTCCCTAAAACTAAGGACTTCAACTTACTGTCCGGGCAGCCCAAAAATATCGATAGAGTCTATCCTCGTCTGTTCCTCGTCTCCTTGATTGGAAGATACAAAGATCTAGTAAAATTTAGCGTTTATGATCGAATTAGTTGCTATACGCACGTGCAAACTGAGCACTGATTGAAACCTAACAAAGCGTAAAGGTATCATTTTCCCTGTGCTCGTCAGCTCTTCAGTCAGCTCAATGATCTGAGCCACTTGTGGTTCAACGGCATCTTGTAAATCTTCGAATCCAACATTTGGATTATTAACTTGAATCTTGATCAGTTTAGGTGCCCGAGAGGAATCTTTACTCTGGATGGCGATTCCTCGCACCCGCACCGTTTGGTTGAACTGGAACAAGTCAGCCTTCGTTCAACTATCATTCCAGCTAACATACCGGAATGTTAAGGAGGAGTTGCTCATCAGTGTCACTTTCTAGATATGACTCCGACGTGTTGCGAGAATGGCCAGTTAATATAGACTTGAGCGTGTGTTCGCTGAGTTCGTTGAGGCAGTTGATTTGTGGGCGATCAACGAATTCAAGTAAAGAGACCTATGATGGGAGTGAGAAACGCCGACGCTCTTAACCGTCGGGAGGATTATACTCACGTCTGAGGTTTCAGCTGAGGAAGAGGTGGATGCAACTGAGGAGCCTGCGTGACGAGCAATAGCACCTCTTATTTCTTCCTTGTCCGCGCCCAAAACCGTGTCTACGATCTTCCTGTCCCTTATGAAATGAAACGTGGGCATGGCCTTTACGTTATATTTTTTGGCCACGTCCTGCAATTTCTCTGTATCTACTTTCACAAAGGTAACATGAGGATACTTAAATATGGTGTCAGATACCCAACTGAACGTGATATACGCGTAGACACTGACCGTTTTACTGTACGCATCGATAACCGGCGATATGGCATGGCAGGGCTGACACCAATTCGCATAAAAGTCAATGACTACTAGACTGTTTGCTTTTGCGTCCAAGATAGCGTCGAGGGCACTAGCTGTATCAGCATGGCGTACGTAAGACATTGCGAAAGGGCTGAATGTGTGTGGCAACAAAGAAACTCAATATTCGCTCTGACCACCACAATATCATGTCCGCGTTGCATTTGGACGTTACTGGGGATGACTCTCCAGAGAAATTAAAAAATGAAAATCATTCTGAAGACGATGCAGACTCCGATTTTGATGATGGAGGAAGCCAAAAACGGAGACCGCGTATTCAGCGAGCCGAGGACTTCGACGATGGACACACTGAGGAGGCATCAAATGTACCCGCTAAGAACGCTTGGGAACTATCTCCTCCTAAGGAGGCTGAAGTGGACCCTTGGGCTGAGCCGAGCACCGAGCCTGCCAAGTTCAAGACAGATGTTGCAAAGGCGAACGGATCGGAAGAACAAGATCTTTGGGGACAAGAACCCAAAAGAGGATCAGGGGCTCGTGCACGCGGTGCTCGAGGAGGCAGAGGAACAAATGATCGGGGCAGAGGCGCTGGGGATAGAGGTCGGGGTGGGGATAGAGGCCGAGGTGGAGATAGAGGTCGAGGTGGATCTGATAGAGGTCGGGGTACGTCTGATAGAGGACGTGGAGGTGGTGATAGGGGTAGAGGTGGTGGAGAAAGAGCCAGAGGAGAAAGAGCCAGAGGTCGAGGAGCAGGGAGAGGCACTGGAAGAGGTGGCTTCGCAGAAGCTAAAGGCGACGCTGATACCGGCACAGAAACGAACAATAAGGGAAAGGCACTAGGGGAAACTCAGAACACGGAAGTTCTGTCCACAGAACAGTCTAAAGCCAGTCCGCGAGAAGAACAAGAGACAAAATCAAGGGAACCGAAGAATAAGGGACCCCGCTCATCAAAACCTCCACCACCCAAAAAGCAGGAACAAACCACGAATACCGATACCACAGATGCATGGGCTCTGCCTCCGATATCGACAACAGAGCAGGACGCTGGCTGGGGTGTCACAACTTCCGACGATGCCCAAGGAGCTACATCAGGAGGATGGGGTGATACACCTGCGTCTGCAGGCTGGGGTGACTCACCGGCATCTGAGAAGCCAAATTCGCCTAAAACTTTCAAACGTCCACCTATGTATCTCAACCCGGACCGCGTCAAGACAGGTGGTTCGGAGCGTGTGAGTGCACTCTTCCTCAGCCGTAAGTATGCTTTTCAACGGGATGTATTCATAGGCAAAGCTGTCCGAGGAGGAACTTGCTCAGCGAATGGAAAAAATTCGACTACAAAATGAGAGGATTAAAGAGAAAAGACTTGTAAGTCGCTATATAAACCTTCTGATCAATCTAAGCAATTCTCTAGGAAGTTGTTGCCGACGAAGAGCAATTTGCTGCAGAACAAGCAGCT